AGTGACATTCGCACCACACAAATGCCAGGCTATGACCATCACCAATAAGAGATAATCTAAACACCACCCTTTGACATTCAATGGTGTTACCATCACTGATTTCCCCACTATCAACATCCTGGGTTATCAATGACCAGAAACTCAACTGGACTCACCATTTAAACACAGTGACTACAAGAGCAGGCCAGAAGCTAGGAATACTGCGGTGAGTAACTCACCTCCTGACTCCTCAAAGCCCGTCCACCATCTACAAGGCACAAGTCAGGAGTGTGGTGGAATGCTCCCCACTTGGCTGGATGATTGCAGCCCCAACAACACTCAAGAAGATTGACATCATCCAGAACAAGCAGCCGCTTGATTGGCATTACATCCACAAGCATCCACTCCCTCCACCGCCAACACTCAGTATCAGCAGTGTGTATTATATACAAGATGCACTGCAGAAATTCACCAAAGATCCTCAGACAGCACCTTCCCAACCCACGACCAGCTCCATCTAGAAGGACAAGGGCAGCAGACATTTGGGAATGCCACCACCTCCAAGTTCCCCTCCAAGCCACTCACCATCCTGACTTGGAAATATATCACCGTTCCTTCACTGTCGCTGGGTCATAGTCCTGTAATTCCCTCCCTAAGGGCATTGTGGATCACCCTACAGCAGGTGGACTGCAGTGGTTTAAGAAGGCAGCTCACCACCTTCAAAAGGGCAACTAGGGATGGGTAATAAATGCTGGCCAGCTAGCGACGCCCATATCCCACAAATGAATAGAAAAAAAATGTACACGGCCTCTTCATCGCCTCCAGCAATCCCGTCCTGCTCTTGTATCATTAGACTGTCACCCAGTATGGATTTTTAGTTTATCTATAATATTTTTTCTCTCATTAATTAGGAAAATTAGTACTGTTATCTCTTTTCCTTAGTGCAAGTAATGTACTCTCATATGGTACATGATATAGGGGTTCCAAACAAGAGTCACATTAGACTCAAAATATTAACCTTGTTTCCCTCTCCACAGATGCCACCAGAACTACTGAATTTCTTCAGCATTTATCGTTTTTATTTCAGACCTCCAGTATTGACAGTATTATGCTTTCATATTACTGTCTCATTCATCACTCATTGCACCATTTTTGACCCTGAACTAAATTTCTGAACTCAGATCCCCTCTGAACTCATGTCCTTTTAACTTTTTGATCTGTAACATTGTCCATCCTTGCCCTGACCTGAACCCATCTGCTACCAAGGTGTTATTTCATCCTCTTGTCTCCACTATCCTTAGTTACCCCAGTGCTCCCATTCTCCAGACTTCACCTCTGAATTCTCTCTCCCATCTTGTCCAGCTCAGATTGAACTACACAGTAATTCTTGAGATCCAAAATGCTAATTCTAGCACTTCATTTTCATCTCTGTAATCCCGTCCGGTCATGAAACAGGCCCTTCTTCAGGAGAAGATAGATTGAGAATGAAAGGGCTCTTGGCCACTTATCTCTGGCCATTTCTGTCAGGGGAAGCAAATTGGATTTAAATGAATGATGGAGGGTGGGGATTGGGCAAGTGGCAGTGGAAAGAAAGGGATGTGAGGTTACAGGGTTTGATAGGTAGGTCAAAAGGGCAACAGGTAAGAATAGTGCTGGATGTGAAGAGATGATAGCAGGCAATGTCTAATGGGGAGAGATTATTTATTTATTCGTCCGGGGTGTGTGTATTGCTGGTAAAATTGTGGTGGATTACGTGGAGGAGGGCAGGTTACAGGCAGCTCCCCTGCTGGATTTACCATGCGATCATACCTTCCAACTCATTAAATCCAATCCAACATCACAGCAAAGGACAGCGACTGACAATACAATGTTTCCAAATATGTTAGAATAACACATGATAATCCACTCATGGTAATTTAAGGTCATTTTTTTACCTAAAAATCTTTTGAATTATCCAATAGTTTAAATTCAACATTACAAATAACACTGTAAAGTACCAATATTTAAGATGATTAAATTGTATGTGCTAATTGGGATTTAACTAATATTACTTTGAAGTGCTAATCTATCATTGGAGATGTTTACCTCAGCGATGGGAAAACTTCTAGAGATGATAATTTGGGACAAAATCAATAGTGACTTGGCAAATGCGGATTAATTAAGGAAATCCAGCATGAATTTGTTGAGAGCAAATCATGTTTAACTAAATTTTTTGAATACTTAGATGAGGTAACAAAAAGGGTTGATGAGGGTAATGCAGTTGATGTGGTGAACTGCCAAATTAATTTGATAATGTGCTACACAATAGATCTGTAAGCAAAGTTACAGCTCATGAAATAAAAGAGAGAGTAGCAACATGGACACAAATTTGTATGTGTGAAGGGAAACAGAGTAGTGGTTATTGGTTGTTTTACAGGCTGTAGGAAGGAGTTCCCCAAGGACTGGGGTTAGAACTCCTTTTCCTGTTATTGATTAATGACCCAGACTCTGGTGTACAGGACTTTATATCAAAATTTGCAAAGATGCGAGGAAAGTTTGAGAGAATAATTAATAAGGCATATGACATCCCGCACTTTACCAATTGGGGCATAGAGTACAAAAACAAGAAAAAGATAGTAAGAACTGCCGATGCTGGAGTCAGAGATAACACAGTGTGGAGCTGGAAGAGCACAGCAGGCCAGGCAGCATCAGAGGAGCAGAAAAGCTGATGTTTCGGGTCGGGACCCTTCTTCAGAATTCTGATGCTTTCAAATGGAAATTGCATCATTATCTGGAAAGGAAAGCTTGGCAGGCCTATGGGGTAAAGGCAGTGTAGAGGCACTAGATAACCATTATAGCATAAGATGTAGCAGCAGAAGTCGGCCATTCTGCCCATTGAGTCCAACCTACTATTCAATGAGATTATGGATGATCTGATAGCCCTCAACTCCACTTTCCTGCCTTTTCCTTACAATCAATGACTCCCTCACTGATTAAAATCTGCCTGTCTCAGCCTTGGATATACGTAATGACTCTGAGGTCCACAGATTCACATCCTTTATAATAGACTCTAAAATTTAGAGTCATAGAGTCATAGAGGTGTGCAGCACGGAAACAGATCCTTTGGTCCAACTTGTCCATGCCAACCAGATATCCTATATAAATTTAGTCCCATTTGCCAGCATTTGGCTCATATCCTTCTAAACCCTTCCTACTCATATACCCATCCAGATGTCTTTTAAATGTTGTAATCAAACCACCCTCCACCACTTCCTCTGGCAGCTCTTTCCATCACACACCATCCTCTGTGTGAAAATGTTGCCCCTTAGGTCCCTTTTATATCTTTCCCTTCTCACCTTAAACCTGTGCCCTCCAGTTTTGGAATCCCCCACCCTGGGGAAAAGAGCTTGTCTATTTACCCTATTCATGCCCCTCATGATTTTATAAACCTCTATAAGGTCACTTCTCAGACTCTGACGTTCCAGGGAAAATAGCCCCAGCCTATTTAGCCTCTCCCTATTGCTCAAATCCTCAAAGCCCGGCAACATCCTTATATCTTTTCTGAACCGTTTTATTTTTAACAATATCCTTCCTATAGCAGGGAGACCAGAATTGCACACATTATTCCAAAAAGTGGCCTAACCACTGACCTGTACAGCCGCAATATGATCTCCCAACTCCTATACTCAATACACTGACCAATAAAGGCAAGCATACCAAACACCTTCTTCACTGTCCTGTTTACCTGCGACTCTACTTTCAAGGAACTATTAACCTGCACTCCAAGGTCTCTTTATTCAGTAACACTCCCCAGGACTTTAGCATAAGTCCTGCCCTGATTTGCCTGTCCAAAATGCAATACCTCACTGCAGCATTTCCCCAATAATAGATGTTAAACTAACTTACTTATAGTTACCTGTTTTTCGCCTTCTTCCCTTTTTAAGTAAAGACATTTTAAAATTAAAAACATTGGCAGTTTTTGAATCTTCTGGGATGAATTGTTCCTCAGAGGGCCAGCATAGATACAACGGGCAGAATGGCCACCTTCTATCCTCTAACCATTTCTATGTTAAGAACGAATTGATTAAAACCCCTTGTTTAAAAGAACTAAAAAATAGCATATTATCAAATAAACTCACTGCAGTGACTCAGATTCAAGGTCTCAGACTATATTAATAATTGCCTTTCTGAACTCATTATTATGAGCAATGCTGTCCGTGCCATAATATCTTCCCAACAAAATACAATGGGAGCTGTCTTATCTATTAGTCCACATTGTAGTATACCTTAAATAAATTAAATTTCTTATTTAATATCGAATTAGGTTTCAGAGAAATGGGTCATTTAGCCCACCTTGCACATGCCAATGTTTAGACTCCATGCATGCCTCCTCTCACCTATTTTGTTTAATCCAATCAGTATATTGTTCTGTTCACTGTTCCCACATCTGTTTAAATACCTTTTTCATCGCCTGTGCTTTGTGGCATTGAGTCCCACATTCTAACCATTCCAAGTTCCCTACTGGATTTATTAGTGACTAATTTATCATTTCAGGCCCAGACAGGTGGAAACATCTTTTCTACCCCCTACCCTATGAACACTTCCATTATTCTTAAAGATCTTATTCCCATTTTTCACAAATAGAGCTGTGACTTGTTCAACCTTTCCTGAGAAAAATAATCTCTCAGTTTAGATATCATTGTTGCAAGTCTTCTTCACACTTCTTCAATGCCTCCATATCATATTTATAATAAACAAGCTAGACTGGTGCACAGTCTTGCAAGTGGGACTAGCTGAATTACTCAGGCTGAGAACTGGCACAGTGTTGCCAGTCTGAATGGTTTCCTTCTACCATAATAAATAGTTTTGTTAGCCTTCTATTCTAAGATTCTAAGTGTTTTCCACCTGAGCCTCTGCATTAATTTTATACAACCTTTCTGCTTTTCAACTCTATCCCTCCAGAATTAAACCAATAAACCAATTTGTTTGCTTTTGTAACAGCTTTATTAAGATGTATGATGTCATTATTTTTGATTTGCCAGGCAAATGTAAAAGTACTTATCAACCATGTCCGTACGAACCAGGCTTTAGCAGCTCTTCAGAAGTTCTCTTTCTGGTAAGTATTCTTTACCAAAAGACCAACTGATGAATAATAAATAATTTGTGACATTTCCATTATAACTTCATTTGTGTTAACTGGCAGTGTCAATAATGAAATGGGAAAAGGAGCAAGCTGTTTAGCTCCTCAAGGCTGCCTGGAATTCAATTAGACAATGATCTACACAATAACTCCATCTACCCACCTTGATTTCATAACCATCAATAATCATACCGAACATAAATTTATCACTCTTGGTTTTCAATTTGTTATGATCTTTACGGAGACCATCAACCAAAAGGGCCATATTCTTCAATCAGTCCCCAGGAAAGGCAAGATTTCATTTTTTACATTTTATTTAAGAATCAAATTGAAATTAACATAAACTAAAAATGATTTAACAGGAAAATTGGATTAAATATAAGGTATAAATTACCCAGTAAATAGCAAATACAACAGAGGTATTTTGCTCAGATTTATTAGACAGTCCTCTGAGCAGACATGGTACCAGTTTCAGTCACCAAGTCCTTCAAAGCCTGAACTCCCTCAGTTAGAATTCTAGCTCCTTTTCTTTGAGGCTTTGCCACTGATTCTCATCCAACAACAGCTTCAACCAACTGGAGTTTCATCAGCAAAATAGTATACTTCTGTAAAACCTCCTCAATTTCAGGCTTAAAACTCAGAAACTGCTGTGGATCCACCATAATCACCATATCTCTAAACCCTCAGTAATAACTCTCAGTTGTGACTTGTGCTGGGCGATCAGCTCGCCTGAAATAACTCAAACATTGTGCTAACCTTATGTTTCCTCTATTTACGCTTGTAGATTTATATTCTCCATTTCCCAGCTATGCTGCATCCTCTTCAACCTTGACTATTACTTGGTCTCATGGGCCACTTATCTTGCTGGCCATGGTCAAGGTAGTTGTATAGTTTTAATTAGCACTAAGGACTCTGGGTCGTGAAGTTTAGAAGGATAAAAGGGGATCTCATTGAAACTTACGGAATACTGCGAGGCCTGGATAGAGTGGATGTGGAGAAGATGTTTCCAGTAGTAAGAGAGACTAGGACCCAAGGGCACAGCCTCGGAGTGAAGGGACAAGTCGTTAGAACTGAGATGAGGAATTTCTTCAGCCAGAAGGTGGTGAATCTGTGGAACTCGTTATTGCAGAAGGCTGTGGAGGCCAAGTCTTTGGATGGTGTATTTAAGACAGAGATAGATAGGTTCTTGATTAGTCAGGGGATCAAGTGTTATGGGGAAAAGTCAGGAGAATGGGTTTGAGATACATATCAGCTATGATCAAATGGTAGAGCAATTTGAAGGGCCGAATGGCCTAATTCTGCTCCTACCTCCTTATGCTGTTATTAATTACCAAAGATCCCAGAATGACACTAGAAATCTAGAAATGTCATCAGTGTCAGAGTAAGTCCTTCTTACCCATCCACAGCACCTCCCAAAACCTGCATTGACATTGTGGGCATTCATAGCCTCACTTGTCTTCTTGTCAACTTCTGCACATTCTAACTAGCTGCCAACAAGTGGAGCATGGAACAGGGAACAAGCAGATTCTTGACTTCCTGACGGAACAGCATCAGCCCAAAACACTTAATAGCGTTCCAAAATTTCTGTTGAACTCTGGTCATCACCTTTTTCAGGAAAGTGTTCCACATTCCTACTATCCTTTTATGTGAAGCATTTCAAGACATCATCCTTGAATAACTTAGCTCTTCATTTCTAGATTATACCCCTTTGTTGTTGACTCGAGTTAGTTTAGCTCTAATAACGTTATCAACTCCTTTGATCATTCTAATCATTTCAACCAGATCATCCTCTAATTCTTTATACTCAGAGAAATTGTAGCCTAGTCTGTGGAACCTGTTGTTCTAATATAATTGTTTTACCCCAGCATTTTCCAGATGCATCTGTGTTGCATACCCTCCAAGATCACTATGTCCTGGTTAAGACATTTTGTGCAGCATAGAACATAGTACTTCAGATGGAATCAAACAAGATGTTTCTATAACTGTAACTTCATTTACACATTTATATCCCAGTATCCTTAAACTAACGGCTAGAATTTCGTTAGTCTTTTAAATGATTTTTTTTGTACATCTGCCCATGAACCTTTAATGATTTCTTCTTATGGATCATAAAGTTTCATTACTCATGCACAGTTCCCAGCTGCCATTTCAAAAAATTCTGATCTGTCAGGATCATAGGAGGATAATCTCATGCTTCTAAACATTGAGCTCCACCTGTTATTGTTTATCTCACTCATGTAATCTTCGATTTTCCTTTACAACTTTCTGTGCCCAACCGCACAATTAACTGTGGCACCTAAATTTGTTTTATCAGCAAACTTGTCTATACAGATCTCCAATTGTTTCATTGTGGTGAAAATCTGAAGCGCCAATACAGATCTCTGGGCATACCACAGGTCACATCCTGCCAACCGGTGTACCTATTATCGCCACTTATAGAGTCATAGAGTAATACATTACGGAAACAAACCCTTCTGTCCAATTCGTCCATTCTGACCAAGTTTCCTAAACTAACTAGTGATTAGAAATTATACAGTGAATGGTAGAACCCTTAGGAATATTGATATGCAGATGCAGGTCCACAGATCACTGAAGGTGGCTACGCAGGTAGATAAGGTAGTGCAAAAGGCCTATGGCATGCTTGCCTTTCTTGGAAGGGCATTGAGTACAAGGATAGACAAGTTATGCTACAGCTTTATAGAACTTTAGTTAGGCCACTCTTGGAATATTGTGTACAGTTCTGGTCACACTGCTAGAAGGATGTGGATTCTTTGGAGAGGGTACAGAAAAGGTTTACCAGGATGTGGCCTGGTATGGAGGATTATAGCTAAGAAGAAAGGTTGGATAGACTGGGTTTGTTTCCACTAGAATGCAGGAGTTGAGGGGCGACCTGACAGAAGTTTATAAGATTATGAATGGCATGGATAGAGTGGAAAGTATGAGCTTTATCCCAGGGTGGAGGGGTCAATTACTAGGGTACACAGGTTCAAGGTGCGAGGTGGGGGGAGTGGAGTTTAAAAGAGATGTGTGACGCAAGTTTTTCACACAAAGGGTGATGAGTGCCTGGAATGCGTTGCCAGAGGAGGTGGTGGAAGCAGACACAATAGCAGCTTTCAAGAAACACCTGGATGAATGCATAAATAGGAAGGGAATAGAGGGATATGGATCCTGTAAGTGAAGACAGTTTTAGTATGGAAGGGCAAAATGTGTCGTCGCAGGCATGGAGGGCCTGTTTCTGTGCTGTATTGTTCTTTATTCTTTGTTCATTTGCCTGCATTTGGCCTATATTCCCCCAAACCTTCCCTATTAATGTACCTGTACAAATGTCTTTTAAATGTTTTAACTGTACTTGTGTCTGGCAGTTCATTCCACATACGAACCACCTCTGTGTGAAAATGTTGTCCCTCAGGTCCCTTTTAAATCTTTCTCCTCTGACCTTAAAAATGTGCCCTCTAATTTTTAACACCCCTACCCTAGGAAAAAACCTTTTCTATTCACCTCTATCTATGCCCCTCATGATTTTATAAACCTGTATAAGGTCATCTATGTAGTCCATCAACTTCCTATGCTCCAATGAGAAAAAGTCCCAGCCCATCCAGCCTCCCCTTATAGCTCAGTCCCAGTAACATCCTTGTAAATCTTTTCTACAGCTCTCCAATTTACTAATATCCTTCCTATAGCAGGGCGACCAAAATTGTACATGGTACTCCAAAAATGGTGTTACCAACATCCTGTACAACCTCAACATGATGCCCCAACTCCTATATTCAATAGTCTCAGCAATGAAGGAAAGCATGCCAAATGCCTCTTTTACCACCCTATCTACTTCTGACACAACTTTCAATGAACTATGTACCTGAACCCCTCGATCTCTCTGTTCAACAACACTCCCCACGGCTGAGCCATTAACTGTATAAGTCATGCCCTTGTTCATCTTACCAAAATGCAACACCTAGCATTTATCCAAATTAATCTCCATCTGCCATTCCTTGGCCCGTTGGCCCAATTGATCAAGATCCCTTTGTAATCTTAAATAACCTTTTTAACTGCCCATTATAACAGCAATTTTGGTATCATTTTTTCCCCCTTTATTCATTGACGACACCACTGGTTAGGCAACATTTGTTGCCCATCCCTAATTGCCCAGAGGCAGTTAAGAGTCAACCACATTGCTGTGGGTCTGGAGTCACATGTAGTCCAGACCAGGTAATGAGGGCAGTTTCCTTCCCTAAAGGACGTTAGTGAACCGATGGGTTTTACAACAATCAACAACGGATTCATGGTCATCATTAGATTCCAGATATTTATTGAATTCACATTCCACCATCTGCCATGGCAGGATTCAAACCCGAGTCTCCAAAATGTTATCTGGGTCTCTGGATTAACCGTCCAGTCATAATACCACTAGGCCATTGCCTCCCCATTGAGAAATCTGCAAATTTACTTAGCATGCTTCCTAAATTCTTATCTAAATCAGTTATACAAGCAATGAACAACAGTGGACCCATCACCAATCCCTGTGGAATATCGCCGAACACAGGCCTCCAGTCTGAAATAACAACCATTCACCATCACCCTCTGTCTCCTACCGTCAAACCAATTTTGCATCCAGTTGGCAAGCTGTCCCTGAATCCCTTGTGATCTAACTTTACTAAGCAGACTATCATGCGGAACCTTGTCAAAGACTTTACTAAAATCTATGTCGGCAATGTCTACTCTTCTGCCCTCATCTATTCTCTTGGCCACATCCTCAAAAAATTCAATCAAGTTTGTGAGACAACGATTTCCTGTGCACAAAGCCATTCTGACCATCCTTAATCATTTCTTGCCTCTCCAAATGCATGGAAATCCTATCACCCTCTGTCTCTTATCTCATCATCAATTCCCTACATGTCAATAAGTTACCTCCAATTCCATGTGCTTTTTTTTTTGCCAGCTGTCTCTTTTGTGGAACATAGTTGAATGACTCCGAAATAATATCTATTGACACATCTTTCTTTACCATGTAATTTTCTACACCAAAAACATTATCCAGATTTGTGAGATTAAGTTTTTGTCGATAAATGCTGATCAGATGATGAATGTTCAACTGCTCAGACACTCTGTCATCGATATTATTCTTATCATATAGATATGAGGGTACAATGAGAGGTCATAGAGACAGGCAGGTCTAAAATGCACCTACTGGGTAGAATTTCAGACAACAAGGTGTAGAGCTGGATGAACACAGCAGGCTAAGCAGCATCAGAGGAGCAGGAAAGCTGAAGTTTCGGGTCTAGACCCTCCTTCAGAAATGGGGGAGGGGAAGGGGATTCTGAAATAAATGACCAGTCCCCCTCCACTGACACCCTTATCCGCTTAGCTGAACTCATCCTCACCCTTAACAACTTCTCCTTCCATTCCTCCCACTTCCTACAGACAAAGGGGGTGGCCATGGGTACCCACATGGGCCCAAGCTATGCCTGCCTCTTTGTAGGATACGTGGAGCAATCCCTCTTCCAAAGCTACACTGGCCCTATCCCCCACCACTTCCTCCGTTACATCGATGACTGTATCGGTGCCACCTCGTACTCCCACAAGGAGCTCGAACAGTTCATCCACTTCACTAACACCTTCCACCCCAACCTTAAGTTCACCTGGACCATCTCCGATACCTCTCTCTCCTTCCTGGACCTCTCTATTTCCATCTCTGGCAACCACCTGGAAACCGATATCCATTTCAAGCCTACCGACTCCCAGAGCTACCTACAGTACACCTCCTCTCACCCATCTTCCTGCAAAAAGGCCATCCCCTATTCCCAATTCCTTCACCTCTGCCACATCTGCTCCCGAGATGAGACATTCCACTCCCGGACATCCCAGATGTCCTCGTTTTTCAAGGACCGCAACTTCCCCTCCACAGTGGTCGAAAACGCCCTCAACCGTGTCTCTCGCATTTCCCACAACTCATCCATCACACCCCCTCCCCGCAATAATAACCAAAACAGAATCCCCCTCGTCCTTACGTACCACCCCACCAACCTCCGGATCCAACGCATCATCCTCCGACACTTCCGCCATCTGCAATCCGACCCCACCACCAAAGACATTTTTCCCTCCCCACCCTTAACTGCTTTCCGGAGGGACCACTCTCTCCGTGACTCCTTTGTTCGCTCCACACACCCCACCAGCCCCACCATCCCCGGCACTTTCCCTGCAACCACAGGAAGTGCTACACCTGCCCCTACACCTCCCCTCTCACCCCCATCCCAGGCCCAAAGAAGACCTTCCACATCAAACAAATGTTCACTTGCACATCTGTTAATGTGGTATACTGCATCCGCTGTTCCCGTTGTGGCCTCCTCTACATCGGGGAAACCAAGTAGAGGCTTGGGGACCGCTTTGCGGAACACCTACGCTCAGTTCGCACCAAACAACTGCATCTCCCAGTCGCGAACCATTTCAAATCCCCCTCCCACTCCTTGGACGACATGTCCATCCTGTGCCTCCTGCAGTGCCACAACGATGCCACCCAAAGGTTGCAGGAACAGCATCTCATATATTGCTTGGGAACCCTGCAGCCCAGTGGTCTCAATGTGGACTTCACAAGCTTCAAAATCTCCCCTCCCCCTACCGCGTCCCAAAACCAGCCCAGCTCGTACCCACCTCCCTAACCTGTCCTTCCTCCCACCTATCCCCTCCTCCCATCTCAAGCCCCACCCCCATCTCCTACCTACTAACCTCATCCCGCCCCCTTGACCTGTCCGTCCTCCCTGTACTGACCTATCCCCTCCCTAACTCCCCACCTACACTCACCTTTACTGGCTCCAACCCCTCCTCCTTGACTTGTCTGTCTCCTCTCCACCTATCTTCTCCTTTATCCATCTTCTATCTGCCTCCCCCTTTCTCCCTATTTATTTCAGAATCCCTCTCCCCTCCCCCATTTCTGAAGAAGGGTCTAGACCCAAAATGTCAGCTTACCTGCTCCTCTGATGCTGCTTGGCCTGCTGTGTTCATCTAGTTCTACACCTTGTTGTCTCAGATTCTCCAGCATCTTCGACTATCTGAGTAGAATTTCTTCTGGGTTATGGAAATGATTGTGAAGTAGGGATTGTTGTTGACTGTAGAATCAGGAGGATAGGTCTGCTGTCTCCACAACTTTGTCCAATACACTCGGGTGGGGAATGTCAAAGAAAGACTGCCAACCCAGAAGCCAATTGAGTAGTCAATTAAATTCCTGTTCCCACCAACAATAGCATTGTACCACATGGGTAGAGACCCTTCACCATTTTTGTGGTCCAGCCAGATAAAACCTTGCCACTTCTTTGTGGGCATCCCCAACTGCAGAAAAATCTCCCCGGCCCTTGCTAATGAATCACCTCCACCTCCCCAGGGCCTTTCAGCCTAACCCCAACAAGCTCAATTCCACTCACCATGCTGCCTCTGGTTGGTTGCAGTCCCAGCAGTGACCTGTACTGGCTTTCCGCTTGTTATCAGGGCCACTCTAGTCTACATTAAATTCAGCTCACTGACCGAAATTTCTGACTTGTGGTAGTGAACTTTTTTTTAGCATCACTTTCAAAACTTGGAAGTGCCATGGATACAATTTACAGGCAGGCTTTCCTTTTCCACATGGGGCATGACAGTTTGATGGAGTAAAAATCCAGAACACTAAATCTGTCACGGACTGCTTGTGAGATTCATACTCACTTCAATGAATAGAGAAACCAGACAAGTCCAATTTTGTGGTTAAGGCTTCATTCCTGTTAATGTTTTGCTGAAGAAGAAAATTATTATCTTTCAGTGCACATGACAAAAGGCTGAATGGTCAAACCTAAACTGCTTGGAAATATTTTGTTACAGGACCGCATTTGGAAGAGAATATGAAATCACTACCAACACCTTCTATGATAGCCATCGAGCTGAAGAGGACTTGAACCACTGGGTTATTGTCACTGGAGATCCTGGTGTCCCACATGGCACCTTGTTTCATGCACTTCCTCCCTTTTGTGAGGATGAGATGCCAACGAAGAATCGTAGGCAGCCTTCACCTAGCTGCTCAACCCAACCGCCCACTTGTTAATTGACAGAGCTAGAGCTATTGTTTCTTCTAGTCTACTGAATAGCAAAGTCTCACTTCCTCCTCTACATTCCCCCAGTCAACAATTCTGTCAACAGCATTGGCAATTATGAGCCTCAGTACTAGCCAGGAGGATCATCATCAATTAGGACACATTTTAAAAAGCTGCAAGTTTCTTCGATTTCCTGCAAAATATTATAGTGTTCATTGCTAAACTTCTCTAATTTGATTGAAGTGCAACAAAAAATCGGAATGATAAGCAAAGATTAAATACTGACAAATGTAGGAGTACATGATTACACTTATTTTAATAAATCAGCTAGTCTTTCAAGAGAAGTTTTTTGCATTCTTCAACTTATGGACAATTATATAGACGTTAAAGGAAAACAGGATCATGTTTGGATCTTGACTTTGTCAACAGTAGGCTTTCAATGAAGTCTTTTTCATTATTCATCTTAGTTCATACACACAGACATATGAAATAGGAGCAAAAGTAGGCCATTCAGCCCCTTGAGTCTGCTCTATCCTTCAAAAATATTGTGGCCGATTTGTTTGTGTTTCGAATTCCACATTCTCATCTACTCTCAATAACCCTCAATTCACTGGTCCAACAAGAATCTATCCACCTGTTTTAAATGCAGTGACCCCACCTCCACTGCCTTCTGAGGCAGAGTGTTCCAAAGTCACACAATCCTCTGAGAGAAAATGTTTCTCCTCATCTCTGTCCTGAAAGTCTGAGCACTAATTATAAAACTGTGATCTCTAGTTCTGGACTGACACACAAGAGGAAAGACCCATTCAAGACCATTCAGAATCTTGCACACTTCAATCAAATCACCCGTCTCTCTGCTAAACTTCAGTAGTAGTGAGCCCAACTTATTCAACCTACCCACAGAAGACAGCCTGTATATTCTTGGTATCATTCCAGTTATCCTCCTCTAAATCACCTTCAATGCATTTACATCTGTAAACAAGGAGACTAAAACTACACACAGTATTTGAGATGTGGTCTCACCATTATTCTGTATAACTGAAGTGTAACATCCTTACTTTTATATTCAATTCCTCTCTTAATAAAAGATGGAGTTCCATTAACCTTCTTGATTGTCGGCTGAACTTGAATACGAACCTTTTGTGGATCATGCACCTGAACACCTAAATCCTTCTGGATCTCAGAATTCTGCATGTATTCTCAGTTTAAGTAATAATTTACTTTTTTTAAAATCACAAACAAAAACAAAGGGCTGGAGAAAGCAGATCTGGCTGCATCTGTGGAGAGAAAAACAGAGCTAATGCTTTGAGTCCATTGACCCTTTGTCAGAACGTCCTGACAAAGGATCACTGGGCTCAATATTAACTCTGAATGCTCTCTGTTTTCTGCCAAACAGCCAATCTTCATCCATGCTATTAAATTATCCTGTTACAATTTGAATATTTATTTACTGTAGTAATCTTTGATATCACTCCTTATCAAATGTCTTCTAGAAATCCAAGTATAGTGTATTCATACGGTTCCTTTTACGTACAGCATATCCTTCAAATAATTCCAGTAAATTTTTAAATATGATTTTGCTTTGATTACAACTTGCTAACTTTTCCAAATTATCTTGAGTTTTCAGTGCTCAGCTATAATCTTATTAATGACCGATTCTAATGCCTTCCTTATGACCAATGTGAAGCCAAATGGCCTATAATTTCTTGCTTTCTGCCTCATTCTGAACAGAGATTACATTTGAGTTATATTTACTACTTTCTAGTCCAATGGAACCTTTTTTGAATTGAGGAAATTTTGGAAAATTAATACCATCACGTCTACTATCTCATTAATCACATCGTTTAAGACCCCTAGATGAAGATGATCTGGACCCAGAGAAGGGTCAGCTCCCAGGTCCGAATTTGCTTAGTACCATTTCCCTTATGATTACGACTTTAATACACTTCTCTCTGTCTTACGCCTAATTTTGCCAGAAATTTGTTTTGTATTCCCTATAGTAAAGACAGATATAAAATATTTCTTCATTCCCATCTGTCATTTCCCCATTATCAGCCATTAACTCCCTTGTCTCAGTCTCTAGAGGGTCATCACTCACTTTACTTGTTTCCTTTTTAAGTGCCTATAGAAACTCCTGCTATCTGTTTTCACATTTCTAATTAACTTACTTTAATACTCTAATTTCTTCCTCATGGTTAATATTTTAGTCATTCTCAACTGTTCTAACATTCTAATCAATCATCTGACCTGACTATCACCTTTGCACTGTTATGTGCTTTCTCCTTAACTTTGATATTTTCCCCAACTTAATTTATTAACCACAGATGGTGAGTTCTTCTTTAATAATTTTTCTTTATAGCAGAAATATACTTATTCTGAGTAATCAGAAATATTCCCTTAAATATCTACCAAAGTGTCTCTATTGATCTAACCCCCAGCCTAGTATGCCGACTCACTTCAGCTAGTTCTGCTTTCATGCTCACATAGTTGGTCTTATTTAGGTTTAAATATTAGTCTTAGACCTAATCCTGTACCTTTCAAACCTAATATCAAATTCAATAATCCTGTGGTCATTGCTACCCAGGGGTGCCTTTTCTGAGGTCATTAATTGATCCTGTCACTTTACACAATTCCAAGTCTAATATAACCTGCTCTCTGGTCATTTCAGAACACGCTGTTCTCAGGCATTCTATACAAGCTGCTATTGCCAATCTGATTTTTCCAGTTTATATATAGATTAAAGTCACTCGTGATTATTGCTGTCCCTTTATCACAAGCACCCAGTATTTCTTACATACTTTACTAACATTGTGGTTACTATTAGTGGGCCATATACTACTTCCATTAATAACTTTTTTCCCCTACTATTCCTCATCTCCACCCAAATGAGTTCTACATCTTGATTTCCTGAAACAAGGCCATCTCAAGCTATTGTGTGTATGCCATCCTTGATTAACAGTGCTCCCCATCTACCTTTTCCTAGCTTTCTTTTTTTTTGTATGTTATACACTCTCAATATTTAGGACCCAATCCTTGTCATCCTGCAGCCTGCCTCTGTAATAGCTGTCGGATTGTATTTCTTTACTTCAGTGCAAGTTATCAGTTTGTTTACTATATGAATGCTATGTGCCTTTAGATTCTTTCGTAATACAGAACCTTTAGTTTTGTCATTTTGTTATCTTTGTAATATCTAAAATTGATTATTTTTATTGATTATGTTTTTTTCTTTTGGCACCCTTCTTGGACCCTCATTTGCTGTGTTGGCTATTTTTCTTCTACCTCATCTCTACTATTGTCCCTTGCCCTCTCCGGATCAATACCAGTGTTCATGATAAATTTATTCATTCATGTGATGAGGGTGTCGTTGGCAAGGCAGCATTTATTGCCCATCTCTAATTGCCTAGAGGACAGTTAACAGTCAACATTGCCGTGGGTCTGGAGTCACATGTCGGCCAGACCAGGTAAGGATGGCAGTTTCCTTCTCTTTAGGGCATTAGTGAACCAGATGGGTTTTTCCAACAATGGATTCACGGTCATCATTAGATTCTTAATTCCAGATATTTATTGAATTCAAATTTCACCATCTGCCGTGGTGGGATTCGAACCTGGGTCCCCTGGACAGTGTCTGGGTCTCTGAATTTACAGCCCAGTGATAATACCACTAGGCCTTCGCCTCCCCTAATCTACCTACTTTATTTATCACACAGTTAGTTTACCCTGCAGCATAAAATTGCCTCAAGTTGCAGCACAAAGCTGACAGACTCACTACTGACACTTAGGTATTACCTGTATTGGGGAGCAATACCTGGCCAGACTTCAGTTACTAGGCTGGGTGTGTCCTTCTCTGAGCTCAGCATCCTGCTTCTGTGATGGCTGTTCCTGGGTTATCTCCCCTGATGTCTTCAATGCTTTTACTTTGATATGGTTTTCTTTATTTTCCAGAATGTTGTGACTATGTACTCCTGCCAAGGACCCGTGTGACTCTGGGAATGTCCATCCAAGGGTTGTATGGATGTGATGCATTCCCTTCTGTAGTGATTGTAACAAAGTCAGCCAGGTGGATTTCATCGAATATGAATTCTCTGATTGGGGCTGTTAGTCTGGTCCAACTGGGGAGCCCTGGTTGACAGATATAAACCAGAGTGTCAGACATTTTGTTCACTCTGAGAGTTGGCTCTGAGGGAGCTGGATCAATGTCAAGGACTGTCCTCATGTAAATAAAGGGTGACTTGGTGACAGGACACTGGTCCCTGGTCTCAGTGGAATTATTTCACCTTTTGTCTTTGATTTAATATCCTTGATAACCACAAAGGTTGAGTACCCCTTATCACCAGATGCCTGTTTGATCAGCAATGTCTGGCTCTGCATGCAGACTAGAATGTTGTTCCTGCAAAGTTAGTCTCTTTTCCTATCATGTCTTGTAAAGACTCAGCTGTTAAATATACTGCTGTGGTGTAGGAATTTAGATGCAGCCAGATGGCTACATTTGGTATGCTGCATCTTTCCATGTTTAATCTCATGCTCCCACAATTCCATTTAAAACCCACTCAACATTCCTAGTTATGCAGTTTGCAAGAACATCGGCCCACATGGTTCAGGTGTAGACCATCCATGGGTGTAGAGCCCCCATTTTCCTAGTATTGGTGCCAGTGGCCCACAAACTGGAACCCAACTTCTCCCACTCCAGTCTTTGAGCCACATATTTCTCACTCTAATTTTATTACATATGCCAATTTGCATGTGGCTCAGGTAATAATCCAGAGGTTTTGCTTTTCTATTTAGTGCTTAGCTCCTCATACTCTCAATGCAGAGACTCTTTCCGAGTCCTACCCATGTTTTTGGTACTTACACTTTTTAAAAAAAGTTGGTCTTTCATTATTTATGAGCACTGCTGGCAAGACCAGCGTTTGTTGCCCTTGAACTGTGCCAGTTTTCAATTCCAGATTTTACATCCTACGGACATTTGAGCACACCAGCTGCTATGGTGGGATTTGAACCCATCACCCTACACTTTAACCTAGACCTCTGAATTACTAGTCTAGTGAGAGTGCTACTATTCGACTATCCCCCAATGTACATTGGTGCTTAAGAGTAAACAACTGATAATGAACCCTTTGCTGATTGCTGTCAATGAGCATGGTAGTTTCATAGGATCTTAAAATAGAATCATAGAATTACTACAGTGCAGAAAGAGGCCATTTGGCCCATTGAGTCTGCACCATTCCTCCGAAAACCATCCTGTCCAGACCCACCCCTGTAACCTCTCACGGGGGTTTTGCCTTGGCTGGACTGTCTCAGGTGAAAGTACAATTGATTGAAAGAAAAAAATAAGATTCTTGTTGTTTGATCCATCAATCCTGCATTGCCTGTTGAATAGAGTTGTAGAGAATGTACAGTGCGGAAATAGGCCATTTGGCACAACAGATCTATGACAGTGCTGATGCTCCACATGACCCTCAGCCTATCCGCGTTCATCCTACTCTTCCATAACATTCTACTCTTTTCTCAATAACCATTTATTCTCTTCATGCATTTAACTGTACAGTTCCCTATCCTGTTCACCTCAACTACTCCCTGTGGTAATGTTTCATATTCTAATTACTTTCTGAATAAAAAAAACTTTCCCTGAATTCACTGCTAGATTTATTACCACCTTATATTTAAGATCCTGAGATGTGGGCTGTCCCACAAATTACTGAACATCCTTACAGCACTGCACTGGAATTTCAGCTAGATTAGCTGTTTGAATTTAAGGAGTGTAACCTGAACCAATTACCTTCTGAATTGGGGGACGGTGATCAACAGAAATATGGCAACATTGAGGTTTACAATGCTCTGAACACTTCTTTACTTCTTGCCTTTACAAATAATAGGAAGTAACAAAGATTTTTTATGAATTGCAGATTTAGCAATGTTAGTGTTAATGGTGCCAAAATCCTCACTGTCTAGCAGGCTGTAAATACTGAAACAAATCACAGCCATGGTTACAATATGGACCAAGAAATGTTTTCTGTAGTTTCTGTTACTCACCACATGATGTTGCCAGTT